ATGGGAGAATTGTTAGTAAATTAAAAAGGGAACTTGAACTTGAAGTTATGGAGTTCTAAATAAATATAATGAGTAAAAAGGAAGATTGAAAGAAAAAGAGGAATATTAAAAATGGAAATTAAATGAGAAATATTTTGAGAATTGGTTAATAATTTTTTAAATGATATTGTTTCTTAAATATGTTTGTTTCACAAGGACTTATGGTTTTCTAAGGTTAAGGGACAATTTTTAAGGGCTGAAGGTTTTTCTTAAAAGTATGTAAATAATTTTTTAGAAAAAGGTACCTTATGATATTTTGAAATTATAAAATGTCACCCTACTATATGGTATCACCCTGCATGCATGATCATTTCTATCTGTGTATTAGTTATTGATTTAGAACTATGAGATTCCTACTGGGCATTAGTGCTCACTCCTTTATTGTTTTATCTTTTTACAGGAAGAAAGTTTGGATTATTTGATTGAAGAGTTGTGGAGTCCTTGAGTCCCTTTGTATAACTTCATAGTAGATGTAAAGGAAATGGATAATGTATTTGTATTTATTTATTCGTAGCTTCACAGTAGGAGATTTACATGTATTGTTGTTATTATAATATTCATTGAGAGAGAAAGAACTTGTATGATTATATTTCTATTACTCAAGAGTAATAGATGTTTGTAAAAAAAAAAAAAAAAAAAAAAAAAAAAGGACCTAAATTAAAGGCTTTGGTAATGTTCCCGTGTAATTAAAACTTGGGATGTTACATCCTCTAAAGTGGAATCTCCTAAAGAGTTATCCCCTGAAGTGGAATCTCCTAAAGAGTTATCTTTTGAAGTGGAAAAGGTACCTGAAAATAATAAAATCTCAATACATTGTAGAAGTACAGGTGAAATTTGTGATAAAAATTAAATTGTTGTCAACTACATATTTTCGTTTAAAGTTGATCTTGATATTACCAAAAGTAATGGTGAAAATATTATCAAAAGTGATGATGACAATGAACCACAAACTGTCGAGGAATGTTGACAGAGAAATTATTGGCCAATGTGAAAAGAAACAATACAAGTAGAGTTAAACTCGCTTACAAAACGTGAAATATTTGGACCTATAGTTCAAACCCCTGAAGGGATACAACCTGTGGGATATAAATGGGTGTTTGTTCGAAAACTCAATAAGCAAAATGAAATTCTAAGATATAAAGCACGATTTATTGCGCAAGGTTTATTGTAGAGACCTGGTATTGATTATGAGGAAACATATTCACCCATAACGAATGCAATTACATTCAGAGTTTTTATTAGCATGGTAATCACAGAAAATTTAGATATGCGTCTAATGGATGTAGTTATAGCATAGTTATATGGATCACTAGATAGTGATATATATATATATATATACATATATATATATATGAAACTTCCTGTACGGGGAGCAAATATTCCACGGAGCCCGTACTCTTTTCGTCCAAGCTCCTTGTCTATCCGATCGACCTGCGAGCATAACGGCGATGAGCTACTCGGCGGTGTGTGGCCGGAAAACCCCTCCAATGGTCAAATTAGCACACACACCCAGGGAGAGAGAGAGGAAGAGAGAGATAAATCACAAAGAGTGTTTCTCACCAAATGATGTTCCATCCACAGCATAGGGGGCGTAGTCATGCTTGTATACTTTCTGCGTTCACCTCTGCACCCATTCGTCTATTGACATGTGGAGCTGCTCTCCCATCTGTCAGCGCAAATCCAGTTAAACACCACCTAATCAAACCGCCAGACAACATTAGCAGGAACGGACAGCCCGGCAACACCATCCCGGCCTCCTTCGACCGTGCTGCCTAACGAGCCCAACAATGCTCCTCGTCGAGCACCATCACTACCGAGCTCAGCAGCATTCCGATGCGACTTTGCTCCAGCCAAGTTAGGCCGGTCTGCGACAGATCACGATCACCGAGCTAAAACGAGCAAACAAGAGAAGCCAAGCTGGCAGAGGATCATCTCGGCCAACTCTGGTCTGGACTTCGGTCGAACAAGCTTCCTCTCGGCACGGCTTAGCCCAGCTCTGCCCAAATACGCTTGGACCACTTTCAACCCGGCCAAAACCGTAACCCAAGTCGAGATTACGGAAATCTCCCTCTCACTTCCTAAAGGTTTTAAAATACCATAAATATCTAATTCAAAATCCATAAGTGTTTATTCAATCAAGCTACAAAGATCTTTATACGAGTTGAAACAATCCGGATGCATGTGGTATAATTGGCTCAGTGTATATCTGTTGAAAGAAAGATATGTAAATGATCCGATTTGTCCATGCTTTTTTACTAAGAAATCAAAATCCGAATTTGCAATTGTTACAGTATATGTTGATGATTTGAATCTTGTAAGAACTCCAGAAGAGAGCTTACCAAAATTGTAGAATACTTAAAGAAGAAATTTAAAATGAAAAATTATAGTAAAATAAAATTTTGTTTCAACTAGCAGATCGAACATTTGCCAAATGGGATTCTTGTACATCAATCAACATATACAGAAAAAGTCTTGAAAAACTTTTATATGGATAAAGCTCATCCTTTGAGTACTCCTATAGTTGTTCAATCTCTTGATGTGAAAAAAAGATCTTTTCGACCTCGAGAAAATAATGAAGAACTTCTTGGTCCTGAAGTACCATATCTTAGTGCAATTGGTGCCTCAGTTATTTTGCAAATTGTACCAGGCCCAATATTACATTTGTAGTCAAATTATTAGCACAATATAATTCTACATTAACCCGAAAACATTGGAATGGAGTGAAACAAATATTATGTTATTTTTGTGGAACAACTGATATGGATTTATTTTGTTCAAATAAATCAAAGCCGTAGCTAATTAGGTATGCATGCAGATGCTGGATATCTCTAGATCACAAATAGCATATGTTTTTACTTATGAGAATATTGTTATATCTTGATGATTAACAAACAAACATTGATGGCTACTTCTTCAAATCATTCGAAGATACTTGAAATTCATGACGCAAGTCGAGAATGTATTTGGCTTAGATCCATAATCCATCATATTCCAGACAAATGCTTATTTTCTTGAACTACAGATAGTTCAACCATATTATATGAAGATAATGTTGCATGTATCACACATATCAAATGAGGCTATATTAAAGATACACTCAAGTGATAATCTGACAAATCTATTTACTAAAACACTATCGATTGCAACATTTAAGAAGTTGGTGTATAATATTGGAATGCATCGACATAAAGATTTATTATGCAACTTTGATGGGAAGTCATCCATCTAAGCAGATTTATAGATTATATTTTTTTTCCTTCGTCTAATGTTTTTTTAACTGCGTTTTCCTTCGTAAGGTTTTAATAAGGCAATCTAAACAAATCACATACAAGAATATTGTACTATTTTTCCCACGAGTTTTCCTTGGTAAGGTTTTAACGAGACATATTTTTAGTCTATGGTTATCCAAAGGAGAGTGTTGTGAAATATTTGGATAACCAGTAAAAGAGATGCAATTGAAATTCTAATGAGTTTTGGGCCAAAGCGAAAATAGGGAAAAGTTTTTCCATGTGAGTAATGTGATATGCCATGTGATAAACCACATGGTGTGATGAATAGTAGTGAATAGTGAAGGTTTTTTCACCTATAAATAGGTGAGTTTGCATGGTAATGTAGCGATAGAAAAATTATGTATTACATGTGCGACTATTTATTTCCTCTTCTATTATGATTTTTTCTTCTTTATTTTCTTTAGTTTTGTGGGAGCCAAATTATAACAACCCAAAGGATAGGGTCCTAGTAACATAGCCAACAATTGGGCCCAATTTGAGGTCAACCCATTGGGTAGATCTATTAGGCCGAATTAGAGCTGAATAAGGTTGGATAGAACAATCGCCGAATAATAGGCCTCAGTGCTTGGTAGCCGAGCAGAGTAGTTTAGATAAGTCAGCGTCTCGCTCAGTTGTCAATTCTTCTCTATAAAGTGCAATGGGGGAATGGACCCTGACAGGGGATGCATAGTAGAAGATAAAAACCCAAAAGAGAAACTCTATAAAAGGAATGAGAGAACTCATGGATGAGGTAGGTTTAAAACAGTTTACTTATAAAAAGGAACAATCAATATATTTGAAAGAAGAAAACTAACTAGATTGTCAGAGTGTTAATTCCGGCACTCCCCCATCAGAGTTGTTCTTCTGTTTCAAGTGACCATCAAATGACTACTCTAAGATCTACTTGGATAAAAGAATATCCCAAATCCACTCTCCCCACAAGTTTTATAATATGATAGTATAATTCTTTCCTTTCCCAAGCCTGATTTATTGGCAACCAAGCACAGTGATGGTGCACCAGGGTGTCCTAGGCGCATTTCTTTAGAAACACCAACAATGTCTCCGTTGGAGAAGTGGGTTGGCTTTTTGACTTTTTTGGCTATTTTAACCTGGGCTAAAAAGCTTGGTTTGAGAAGGACTTTTTGACTTTTTTTGTGAGGAAAGAGTATAATAATTATGGATTGAATATGATATTTTATTTGTTGGGACTAAAATAACCTATTTTATTTTTTGTGACTAATATAATCAAAAAATCTCTTGTCAAACAGAGCCAATGTCACATAGCAGTATTTTGGTACATGACTTCAAACCAAATGATCATCCAAACGAACATCATCAACGCTCCATTTGTTTGGATTTTTTTTCATTTTTTAATTTTTTTTTTTTTGTATTTTATGGTTTGTTACCATGAAAAATTGAAAGCCCACAAGAAATAAATCTATTTAGACAAAAAAATATTTTTAATTTTTAAAAGATCAAAAATATTTTTAGACTAAAATCTTGTCAATACCCATACTACCACTCTTACTATCATCACTAAAAATAAAAAAAAATATTTTCTGATTTTTTTTTTCCGTAAAAAGTGTTTTTATTAAAAAAAAATTTCCACTCAAACGTAACGTAAAATTGAAAGCACGATAATATTCGTAACTCCTCTAAGAAAAACAGCTTATTGGGAATCAAACAAAAGCATTTATGGGAAATAGAAAGTTTTCCGGCTGGGAACTCTAAACATTACAAATATATAAAAGAACAATAAAAGAAAGACAAAAATAATTAATTTATTTAAGAAAAAAAAGAAGAAGACCTAGAATTCTATACAGAAAATGAGAAATAGGCAGATGAAAGACAAAATGACCTAGAATACTTTATATGGGCGCTGCACAGGTGGTTCTAAAATGGCCAGTTTGATTGCAACGGCTGCAATGGACAACCCGTTTCCCTCGATCCCGATCTTCCGTGCGAACTCGCCTTTTCCTTGGTCGACCTGGAGGCCGAAGTGATTTTGGTGGGTTTATGACAATGTCAGCACCATCTCCTTCATTCTGAGCTCCATCCAATGTCTCATTCCAAAGGGTTCTATCTGGCACTGGATGTATTGTCTGAGAGTATGCCTTACGATACGTTGCCACGGTGAAACAACTCTCAGTAAATCGATGGACATTTTGCCTGCACGAAAGGAGGGCTGCAACAGCATGAGCACAAGGCAGCCCATATAACTGCCATCCTCGACACAGACAACAACGAGTTCGAATATCCACAATATTTGTTCCTTCATGGGATATAACTTCAAATTCAGCTTCATTTGCTCGGAGCACCTGGAATGTACGTGCTCGCTCAAGAGCCTCCGACATGTGCCTCTCAGCGGAAGGAACAAGTACCGATGCCCACTGCATACTTGCCTCTCGACGCTCGTTGAACCAAATCATCAGTTGCCGACGGATAGACTCCATCATTTGAATTATTGGAAGCCCGGAGGCTTCAAGTATCCAAGAATTTAATGATTCAACTAAGTTTGCAGTCAGATGGCCAAACCTTGTGCCCTCAAAATATGCTGTGGCCCACAAGCGAGGTGGAACTCGTCGGATCCAGTAAGCAGCTTCCTGTGATATCTCTTCAATCTCAAGGACTTTCGCTTCAAACTCGATAACAGTAAGAACATTAGCAGCTTCCCCAAGAAGGTTGACGAGCATAGTATTGTTGAACTCCTTCCGGAAACTGTCACTGAGATGTTGCATACAGAACCCATGAAAAGCAGTTGGGAAGTTTGCTTCCACACCCTCCACGATGCCCCTCTGTCTGTTAGACAAGATTGTAAGCCTTGGCATGTTTTCAGTGTTAGTTTCAAGCAGGTTATGCAGCTCAGAAAGGAACCACATCCAGTTATCATCATTTTCCTCATCAACCACCCCAAATGCCAACGGAAATAGGGCACTATCCCCGTCAAAACCAGTGGCAAAAAGCAATGTCCCAAGGTACTTGCTTTTCAGGACAGTTTTATCAAGCCCAATAAGTGGGCGGCAAGAATTCAAAAACCCATAGATTGACGCTTGAAATGAAACAAACAGACGTTGGAAGCAGTTATCCACTGGATTCACATAAACTGATGCAATACTTCCTGGATTTGTCCGATTAATCTGGCTACAATACCGAGGAAGGAGGCGATAATCTTCTTCAAATGACCCCCGCACAGCAGCCATCATCCGCTCCTTCCCTCTCCAGGCTTGCTTGTATGATAATGTGATCCCATGAACACGATGAATCTCCTCCAAGATCTCCTTTGGTTTGTAATGGGGATTCTCCCTAAGGCTTTGTTCCACGGAATTTGCAACCCACTGGACTGAAGCTTGTTGATGGCCAAGATGGGTAATTCCACCACAAGTATGCTCCTCATGGATGGTCCTAATGGTGAAGGTAGGAACACCTGGAAGTTTTGCAGCATGAACCCGCCAAGGACATCCCTCACTTGCACATTTGGCAGTGAAACGAGTCTTGTCAGACTTAACAGTCTGAATCTCAAAGTGCAGAGCAATTGCCAAATCTCTCAATGCCCTACGACAGCTCTTGACATCAGGAAACTCTTGCCCAACAGTTAATTCACATGTTGGAGCAGGAAGCAAAATTCGGGACTGACAGATAGGAGTAGTGACTACCAGGTGGTCCTGCTGAACAGACATATCCGGAGAAGTTACAATGCTCAAGTCCTGATTTTGGTCCACAGTAAGCTCTAAGTTATCATCGATGTTATGATTTTCAACAACAGTCAATTCGTTATTCTCCAACAAACCGAATTCGTGATTCTGAACACTAAGACCCAACTGGTGATCATGGCTTTCGAGGTCAGTATCATCTTGATCAGCAGCAGGATCAGCATCTTTGCCTGGATTTTTTTCATCATCTTGACTTTGTTCATATCTGGTCTCATGTTCATTGCTATGACCTTGGGCAGGCTGTAGAGCCATTTCATGGCCATGGGCCTGACCTAGCACTAATCTGTGATCATGAGCATCCACTAAACCTAGACCATGGTCATGGGTCTGTCCAAGTCCCATATCATGATCCTGTCCAATTACCAGATTATGATCATGCCCTATCGCCAAATGTTGGTTCTGAACCAGTGATAAATCCCGTCTTTGCCCAAGAATCATATCATGGTTCGCCATGAAAACCCACTCAAATATCACACACTATCTCAATGCCCTAAAAAAGAAGAAAATGATCAAGCAATAGCTGGAAACTCTAGTTTGCTATGTATGTCCAAGAAAACCTGTTCAAATAAAGTTAATTATGAATCAGAAGCTACTTTTTTTCTCTTTCACACCCGTCATAACTACAAATAAGAAAAATGAGGGAAACATAACATATCATCAAAGTATGACATAACATGGTTACCTAAATTGCCAGTTATTTTGTCAGTTTCTCAACGAATAATGGAGTTTTGCAGGAAAAACGAACTTTGAACAGGCCTGACGCTTCCAGTTTGTAGAATGATTCCTACAATTGAAGCCAAACAAACAACATCGCAATTTTGATTGTTACATACCACATATTCCAATTGAAATAAAGATTAACAATAAGAATATATATATAATATTATATAAAGCATATAGGGTTCTCGGTATGAACCCTTTTGTCACAGCTTTTTTCTATTTCTAAATGACCCTTCTATAACTACTGAATTCAAACACACTGGATCCTTTGTAACTGTCTATCTGTAGCTTCAGATTTCAAGCACAACCATATGGGTGTGCAAACCTTCTAGTGTACATATATTGATAAATGCTTAAAAGTATATAATTTGTAAATTCTCTCCATTTATGCTTAGTTGTTTATTAAGGATTAATTTTATTCCTTTTGGAGAAAACTTATCAATTAAAGGGATGATGAAAGAAAAGAGTAGAAAATACTTTATGTTCAATCCATGTGGGTCCAAGTTCCAACTATCACAAGGCTAGCACACATAGTGTTGAATTCAAACACTAATGTAGTTGTAGTGCTTAACCGATCGGTACGGGAGTTGTTCTCATGGCAGTTCCGTGCAGACTCAAGTGTGCAGCATAGAGGAAATTGTGTGATCATATTTCTTGTGTATTACGTAGACAGTGTCCTATTTTATTATAAATGCATGTAAAATTCATTGCGTGAATTCCTTCATTGTTTATTCTTAACACATAATTTTCTGCTCTCTTCTATAGAGTTCTAATCTCTTTTCTAAGGCTAGGGGTGAAACCCCAATGGATTGTTCGTAATTATTTTATGATTCAATAATAATTTTCCCTGTTAGATTATACTGATTAATTGGTTTAAATATTTTTCAGAAATTTTTTTTTGTTCTGCATAATTTTTCTATCTATCAGACTCTGGGTACAATAGAAGCTTAAAAATCCTTACAAATCAAATAACTATTTTTATCTTCCGATTGGGAAGACCTTTACCAAAAAAAAAAAAAAAAAAACACTGGTGGTTGATCCTTGATGCCTATTACCTTCCTCATATTGCTTAAACCTTTTTCAATAAAAAAAAAAATTTTTTTTTTTTTTTGGATCACTTTGTTCTTTATTATTACTTCGCAACAAGATGCACTTGGGTATCCACATTCAAAGTCATAGCACACACATATACAAGTGGGACTGAATAAACTTAAGCCCAGTTATATTACCACTTACTCCGTTAAAAAACATTAGATTAGACACCCCAGCTTTCCCAGCAACCAAACAGCGATTAAGAAAAGCACAAAACAATGCAAGGAAACCAAATCTCATTCAAAGAAGCTCACCGAGAAACATCTGAAAGAGAAATCGCAAAACCCTAATTTCGAGGGCATATCAGATTACCCAAAAGATCTCCACAACTCCGAAATCAGAAGAAACCCTGCAAAATAAAGACAAAACAGAACAGATCATTAGGATAGAACAGTGATCATACAAAGATTTCGAAACTAAAATTAGGGTTTACAAATGTATGTATGTATGTATGTATATCTATATCTAGAGAGAGAAAGAGAAAGAGAAAGAGAAAGAGAAAGAGAAAGAGAAAGAGAAAGTTTTTGAATTTGGCGGGTGTGAGAGAGAGAGAAGAGAGATGAAAATACCAGAGAGAGAGAGGGAGAGAAGCGGTAGAGAGAAGATGGAGGAGGCAGAAATAGGGAGGGGCAAAAGGGCAGAAGAAGGGAGTAATGGGAGCTTGCGAAGAAGTAAAACTAGGGCAGATGGGAATTACACAGAGGGCATTTAGGTCATCCCATTATTTCTCTTTGGTCTCCCTCTTTAGACAATTTCTTTTTTGCCCCTCTCCAACCTCAGCCGCGTCATCTGTATCATCGTTCAATAATTTGTTATTTTTTAAAATAATTATTGGCAATAGATTTTAAGTCATACTTTGAGAAAATAATATTATTTTTTTTACCTCAAAAAACAATCATTTTTTTGTTTTTATTTTTGTTTTTGTTTATATAGACTATTAGTATTAAAAACCCATGATTATAATGAGAGTGTTATTTATAGGCAATTAAAGATGTGACAATTTAAACTATTTATGATAATTATTTGAAACAATTAAAATATAAAAATCATGATAGTTGCTATATATAAGAGTATTTTAGATATACAAAAAAATAAAAATGATGATAAAGTTTCTTTTGAATTGTGTGTTTTATATAATAGCGGAAGGGATCGAAATTTATCCAGACTTCAAAAGTAAAAACTTGAGTACACTTCATTGAGAAGAATTGTTGAGTTAGAAGTGTAACTTTTCTTAAATAGCATCAGAACTTTCGAATGTCGTGGATAATATAGGCAATGGTTCATAAGTATTATTTTCAAAAATAGTCTCACACGTGACAAATCTCCATTGGAGGAAAGAGCGACCAACCAAAAACAAAGTAACAAATATAGTACGAGGAACATCATGCATATGTAAGGATTAGGGTTGTTGATGGACTCAGGCAAATCCCTATTGGCGGAAAGAGCGACCAACTAAAGACAAAGCAACAAATATAGTACAAGGAACATCATGCATGGGTAAGGATTGGGGTTATTGATGGACTCAGGCAACCCCGATCACGATCAAAAGTGGCCCAAAGACCCTACCTCACACGCAACTACTCTACTCGTAGCGAGAGAAAAGTTGGCAACAAATGAGGGGCACGAGCTTTAAAAAAAGAAGAAGAAGAGAGAAATCATCCTCTATAGAGATATGTTGTTTCATTTTTGTGAAATATAATAGAGATACAAAAATTGAGAGCTGGCTTAACCATTAAAATGCTAAATCAATATATATCATTACTGGAGTCTAGTGGTTTGTTTATTATCTAAGAAACATCTCATTGCCATAAGTAATCGCTTATGAAAGGAGCAAAAAAAACTTACCGACCATAAATAATATAAATTATATACATCCAATATTTAATTCTTTTCCTATAGTTGTACATTGTTTAAGAATTTACAAAACTACTATAACAATAGGCCCTACGCTATTTATACTAAATGGTAGAATATTTTTGAATCTTTTTGAATTCTCAAACTCCTAACTTCAATCCATTGCAAAAACTCAAATAGTATTATTTTAGATTTATGATAACAGGCTCAATATGTGCTTAACAAATCAACATTTCCACACTAAGAATGACCATGTTGTTCCATTTTGTTGGACATTTTTTATGTTGTGTTTGAATTTTATATTTATAAAGTTAAAAAATAAGAGGGAAAAGTTAATGCAATGTATTTTTTTTTTTCTTTTTTGGCTTTGCCATTTCTTGGAGGGACTCCACCTAGAGGAGTACAACATCCACAGTGGAATTCATAGCCTTTCTTCTCACATTTCTCTTACACGCGTGAAGTTTAAATTTGAAAAAGATAAAGGACCGTGATTCATCCCCCGAAAAGGGGGGAACTCGAATCCCCCGAATTTCCATTTCAAGTAAAAAAAAAAAAAAAAAAAGAAAAAAAAAAAAAAAAAAGCCCCCAAAACGACGTCGTTTTGGGGGCGACAGGGGAACGCTACAGGGAATGGCGACCGAGGATCCGGATTCGGACTCCACCTAGAGGAGTACAACATCCACAGTGGAATTCATAGCCTTTCTTCTCACATTTCTCTTACACGCGTGAAGTTTAAATTTGAAAAAGATAAAAAGTCAAAAAATTATTATCCTATTTAAGTTATATCATTTTATTTAAGTTACATTATTTTTTTAACATATCACTTCAAACCCAACCCAAATCTAATCCATATTTCATAAAAGTTAAAAAGTGCACTTATTTAGAACATTCCAAACAACACCTAAATATAATACTCCCTCCATCCCAAAATAATGGTCCCTTTTGGGAAATTCAACTTTTTTTGGTAGTACAATTATTGTACTTTAAAAAAGTTAATTTTTCAAAATTACCCTTTAATAATACATTTTTTTGGAAATATTAATGTCATAATTGTACTTTTTATATTATTTATGAATTTAAAAGAATGGCAAAATAAGAAATTTATATTATTTTTGTACTTGATTTTTGAAGAGGGACTAATATTTTGGGACAATAAAAAATGGAATAAGAGACTAATATTATGGGACGGAGGGAGTAGTTAAGACAATGTATTATATATGATGATCGATCATTAAATCAAAATTATAATAGTAATTGTAAATGACTAAATGAGTGTTTGGGAGATAGGTTTTTATGTGAGTTTTTTTAGTTGTAGGATATTATTGGATAAAAAAAATTTGGTGTTTGGAAAGATATTAGTGTTTTGAGAAGTTGGAAAAAGCTGACTTTTTGACTTTTTTGCTAGTTTTTTTGGCAAAAAATTGGGTTGTTTTCAGGGGGCGGAGGCAGCTTGAGCTCAGAAGGGTCACGTGCCCACCCTGACTTTTGGAAAAAAAAAAATTTAAAATTTAAAAAGGGTTCTACCTTTTACTTTCCAACACACATTCAAGCATATTAACCCAACTTTTGGAAATTTTTTTTTTTTTAAATTTAAAATGGGTTCTACCTTTTACTTTCCAACACACATTCAAGCATATTAACCCACTGACACACACACACACACACCACATGCTAGCACAGCACCCACGCTTGTATTTTTTTTTATTTTTTATTTTTTTATTTTTTTTTTGGGAATCCCAATCCTAATCAAATATTCATACATAACTTTTTTTTTTAGGTGAGTACAAACAATTCTAATTACAACAAAGTTAAAACTCTAAAACCTTATAAGTGTATGAAATTTTTTATTTTTTTATTTATTTACAGTACTTGTTAAGTATCTTCATATTTTCTTTGTCTCCCTTTGTTATTTTGCAATTTACCGACTCGCGATTCACCAAATTAGGATCACACAACATAGATTTGGGACCACACTACAACCTTTGTATCTTCTCTTCGTTGTTTACAGGTAACTTTATTATTTTTTTTAACTTTTAAATAAAAATTATGAGTATTAATTTATAATTATTTGTTAAATTTTGATTTGTAAATTTTTTTTATTTGTTATTATTTATGTTAAAATAAGAGATTTTGATATGCTAAAATTATGAATCTTAATTGGTGGTGATTTATATTAAAATTAGGGATTTTGGTTTGTTGTTGTTTGTGCTAAAATTAGGGATTTGATTTGTGCTAAAATTAAAAATATTAATTTGCAGTGCTTAATATTTAAATTAGGGATTTTGATTTGTTATAATTTGTGCTAAAATTAAAATTTTTGATTTGTTATGATTTGTGCTAATTTAAATTTTTTGATTTGTATTAAAACTAAAGATTTTGATTTGTGGGGGGTTTGAGATTTTTTTGTAATGGATATTAATTTTTAATGTTTAACATTAGTTCGAAAAATTATTATTATGTTATTGTTATTGATTGTGGAAGAAAAAATTTGAGATTGTAATTAATGGGTGCCCCCTATGTTAAATTCCTGACTCCGCCACTGGTTATTTTGGATAAAAAAATTGAATATTTTGGCTAAATAAGGTAAAAAGCCACCATTATTCCCAAAAGAGAGGTTTTTTTGTGATTGGATGTGATGTCTGTGAGAGAAAAAGTGAAATGATTATGGAGTTGGATGTGATATTTTATTTGGATTTATTTTTTTAATTTTGCAAAAACTTTGTCTTTTAATAAAAAAAATAAAAAAAATAACCCAAAACTAAATCTTGCCAAACACCACTTATATATGTTCAAAGAAATTTTTCCAAGAGTCATAGCATTGATGATATATCGTTTGAGTTAAAAGGGAATGCTTTGTATAAGCATATCTTTTGGAGAGGATGTACGTATTATTAAACAAAAATGTTAGAGGTATTAAAAATTCTATTAAAAGTTTTATCAAATGTTTTATATAGGTGTAAGACTTACATGGGATCTACATTGTGTGGGTCACACATCATCTGAGACATTTAGTAAAACTTTTGATAGAATATTTAGAATCTCTAGTATTACTCGTTATTAAATGAGTAATATTATAAATTCACTTTTATCAATTCATAAATTACTCAAAAATTAATCTCCTTCAGACTTTACACGGACCCTACATAGACTTTATACTACAAAAATTAATCTCAGCCATACAATTATTCATCCAAAATTTTCTAAGTGGATAAGGATGAGTCTCTAGACTTTTCCTTATTAAATAGGGGCAATCCTGTCTAGTAACATAATAAAAAAGATATTTTTGTGCCATCTCACCATTTTTTATCCGCTTAATTTTAACGTTAGTTAAATTTTCTTTTTTTTAGTTAAAAATCAAATGAACCAATATTTTTTCCCCTTTTTTTAACCAAAAAATTAAAATAACAACAATTTGAAAAAAACACCTTGTTTGGTTCCAAAATTTTGAATCCAATTTTTAAAAAATTGAATTTTTTATTTTTCAATTTTTTTTTTGTTTTAGTGAATTTTTTAAATAATTTAGATAATTTTTTTTACTTTTTAGACACACCTAACTTAAATATATCTAAAAAATAAAATACCTATAGAAAATATTTTAAAAAATTAATATATTCTAAAAAATATGAAAATATATTATTTTTGTATTTTTGATATTTAGTGATTTTTTTAATTTTTTTTTTCAAAAATATTATACTTATTTATGTTAGGTATATATAAAAATTAAAAAAATTACTTAAAATATCAAAAAAATTCAATAAAAATAAAAAAATACGAAATATTTTTGTATTTTTGATATTTAGTGATTTTTTTTAATTTTTTTTTTCAAAAATATTATACTTATTTATGTTAGGTATATATAAAAATTAAAAAAATTACTTAAAATATCAAAAAAATTCAATAAAAATAAAAAAATACGAAAAAGAAAAAACTCAATTTTTTAAAAAGTGAATTCAAAATTCTAAAATCAAACAAGGTGAATAATGTTTAGAGTTACACCTCTAAGAATTGACACGCCAACACTCCTAACCATTTTTGCTTCGAAAAAATAAAAACTTGAAAAAGCTAACAATATTTGATGAAAAAGTCGCAATGTTAGAAAGAGAAGGAAAATGGAGAAGAAATTTGACTTAGACCATCTCCAACGGTGAATCAAAGTTGATATCAGATTCAAATTTTGATGAAAAAGGCACTTTTTTATGCTCCAACCATTGCACCAGATTGATATCAAAATGAGATTTCAGCAAAAAAAGCATCAAACTGAGAACGAGACACAGATTTTACCAAATTTACTGACCGTTGAAAGAGGTACACCGGTCAACCAGCCGGTTGCCCGGCCGGTTGACCAACCGATCAACCAATAAAAGATTCAAACAGTTCAGGAAAAAAAGTTCAAACCGTTAAAAAAAAAAAAAAAAAATTTTACCTAACCGGTCGACCGGCCGGTCGATCACCCGGTCGTCCCGAAAAAAGTTCAGAAAGTTCAAAAAAAAGTTCAGACAATTCGCAAAAAAAAAAAAAAAAAAAAAATTAAAAAAAAATTTGCCTAACCGGTCAACCGGCCGGTCGACCACCCGATTGTCCTAGGATAAATTTGGTGAAAGGTGAACCGTTGGAGTGAGTGGTATCAAATTTGATGAAATGGGTCATTTTTTACTCAGATTTAGTGAAAAATTTGAGTCACCGTTGGAGATGCTCTTATGTTTCATTTAACATTTCTCTCACATTTTTTCTTTTCCCTCTTTAGATCATCCAAACTCATAATCCAAACACAACCTTAGAGAATACCTGGAACAAACTTAAGCATCATATGGTTACAAATCTGCTCTCTCACCAGGTTTGTGCCCAAAACAATGGCACCTTTGTGCACCATTTCAGATCATATACAGGTCATAATGTTAAGAAAATCAGATATATTTTTTACAAAAACACTGAACCAGGACACAACATAATAGTAATATCTCCTTTTCCCAAGAGGCATTTTGCTCACCAAATTCCACACATTACACAAATTCAACCTTGTATTGGTATTTCATTACTTTCTCCAATTATTGTAACCAATAAAAATAAATAAAAAAAGAAAAGAAAAAAGAAAAAGAAAGCACCCAATGCAACAAAGAGAGCACAAGAATGTGGAACACGCTTCAGATGCAAACATGTCAAAAATTGCAACATCTTCAAAAAGGCATGTAAACCCTAAATCTAAAAACCTATGGTCTAACCAACCCAAGTACCGCATCTAAACTATTTCAGCCAACATCATCCCACTACCCACTAGAAGTGAACAATGCTGCCTTTGCTTCTGTATCCGAACTTTCTCCAAGTAGTTACCTATACCCCCAATTCAACTCTGCCAAAAGATGAAGCCATCATGCATTACTCACCTCAACGCCACCAAGCCCTACTTTCAATGCAACAATTTTCCAGAGCATTAAAAAATAGTAACACCAAAGAAAATCAGTTAGCTGTCACAAAACAATCAACATGGCTGTCAAGATGGTGATACCCCAGTTACCCCTGCAGATTCGAACTTACGCAGCATTTCAGAAACGACCTTTTGAAGGGAAACACGGTTCAGCCTATTATTGCTTCCATTTACAGCCATTTTTGATAGAAACGTAATTTCCTGAGTATCCAAGTTTTCATCAATTATCTCATTCCAAAATTTGTCATCCTCGTTAAGGTTTGCCGCCTTCATGAGTTCTGTGACTCGTTTCAAGGTTGCAACATTCCTTCCAGCACCACAACCCATGGCAGTTGCAGCCCCCACTGCATTTGCAATTGTTAATGTATAAACCATGGGCAAATTGTGTATGAAACCAAATGCAATAGCAGCTACGAAACTATCTCCACAACCAACAGTGTCAACAACATTCACCTGTTACAAATTCCAGAATACTAATAATGTTTCAGATCACATATGTACAAAAGAAAAATGCAAACACAAATATGCAACAAAATAGATTAAAAGAATGCAGTTCCAGGGAGTGTGGGGAGGTACATTTATTAAAAAATTAAAATGCATGCAATCCATGGTGCCATTTACTTGAGAAAACTTAACGCGAACAACCACTTCTTGTTATGCTGTCTCCAGCATAATTTTAGCATGAGTTCTGTGAAGGTGCAACACCAACACACACACACGCTACTGGGTTGCATAAGCTAAAAGACATAATGATGTGCCATAAGAAAAGAGACACACTTGGGGTTCCTACATCATTGTCGAATCAGTCGATGAATGCAAAGTTCCAAAAACAAAATATTAGTGTGCTATCAAAGCCAAAATAAATAAAAGGGATACATACTTCTATGCATGAAATAAAGTATTTCTGCCAACTGATACCTTGAATGCAGGTGCACATGATATAGTTGACATGGTGATTAAAATTGAACCCGTTGCACCCATTTTGACTATCACACATTTTGTTCGTATTCCTTTCCTCAGCAACTCCTGCCCAGCCAGTACTGGATTTCCTATACCAGTCAATGATTCAGCCTGCGCAACATCAATATGATTAACTGTATAATAAATACCAAAAGTAAACTATTTTATCAGAGAGGAAATTGCGGAATGACATACAAAGAAAAACAAAAGCACAAACAAAATGCATGCACAATGGCACTGAGTTATTGATAAGTTGTTATCATGTCCTCCATGTACATAGATAATTACAAGGTTGGTGGATATTTACATCTTTGTGGTTTAGATCTCACCAATAATCAAATACTCCACACTTAATAGGTTCATTCAAAGAACCAGAAACTGAAGATAAAAATGTCAAAGAGATACTTCAGACTGAAGCTTCGACCAACCACCACCGGTCAATTCCGCTTTGGGGCTCAACAGATTCCCCTTGCCTCCTGGAACCACTGGGCAAGTGGAAGACATTGAGAAGGGAAGCATGAGTATCATCACTAAAATATAAAATTGTCACTTCCGTTTGGACAAGTACGATCGCTATAAGCAGTAATCAGTATCACATCCTGTTACTACAAAACTTTAAGGCACACAGGAGTGAACAGAAAACGCAAGGTGGAATTTGTTACTTCCAAAGATCATGTTATTGTATTGGCCGCGTAAAGTTCATACTTTTCCTCACCATTAGCCAGGAAAATAGATTTTAATCAGCCGAACAAAAATTCTTGTACTGCTGCTTACATCAATACTGCCAACATATCTTGCAGAAGAATGTTCTGTGAGTCATCCAACATCAGTCTAATGTCTCAAATAAAATTAAACGAAAACTCAGCAGATAGGGCTCCAATAGCATGAGCTAATATATGAACTTCACCAGAAGGCTCTATTTGGTTTGGTTTGATTTGGTTTTTAGAATCTGTTTTCTTAAAAAATTCTTAAAATTAAAAAATTAACTCGGTGAAAAAAATGAAAAAATAAAAACCACTCATCATTTTCAAATGGTTAGATCTTTTTTGGGGGTGGAAATAATTTTGAAAATTTTGAAAATATATTTTTTGTGTTTGTTTTATCAAACTACTTTTTATTTTATTTTTTTTTAAAAAAAAACCCCCAGAAAACTGATTCTGAAAATGAAACCAAACTTGTGTTATTGTTTCATTTATGTGATAAGCAATTAGTTAATTAAGCTCACACAATCAGACACTATACTAACATTAACCTATCATATCATAACGAATTCTCTACTACACAAACTATTTTTGTGATAATAAAGTCAATCAATCAAGATTTAAAAGTGTCTATAAAATAAGCTTAGCTAAAAGATTTAACAAAGTCCACAAAATGAGCTTAGCTAGATACATCTGTTAAGATAGATCCGTAGCAAGAAGGTTAATACTGGAAATGAATGCATCACTGAGTGTTGTATCAGTAAGGAGCAATATATTTCAAGTCAAAGGAATTGCAAGGAGTAGGATATGAGGCAAAGAGGCCGCACACTGAGGGAAGTAGAACCTTATAAATTTCACAAATAACATGGTCGTAGAAAGAGTAGATGAGGAAAGAAGTTGAGTTCATAATTGTATAACATACTAATTCATGGTGCTCAGACAAGGAGAGGGTGGATGGAAAATCAAAACAGAATTTATGGAAGTTACAAATCAAACCTCCTCCAAAGTTAGAAGAAGAACATCGCTCATCCTCAAAAATTCGCCAAATGCTTTTTGTTCTTCAGGTGTTCCAGTAGAAAGGCTCTTCCCCCGTGGTCCAGGATCAAAAAAAATTGAAGTCCCTACTTCCACAGCATACTTTATAGCAGAGCTAATCAAACCAGGGGCAAGCTCATCAAAGCCATAACCATTGCAGAACAGGATCTTTGACTTTTTTATTGCCATCTTTACTTCACTTGACAATTTACTCATCCAACTGAATGCAGGCTCCATACTAAAATCAGCTCGACTGGTAGACAAAACCAATATGTTCATACAAACCATTCTTTTGCAATAATTACGACAATAATATCTACTTCAGAATGAACTTCAACACAAGACAATTTTTCCAGATAAACCAAAAAACAACAAAACTTGGACATGATTACCTGCAAAAACCATGTCTTTGCAAAGGATCCACCAAAACCCAGCATAAAAGCGTTTCATACGAGGCACCAGAACTTTCGATATCAACATCATTATCTTCACTCATTCCAACCGTACCAATTCCTTCATTATGAAGCACATCTACAAGGAAGCGTCCATAGATTTCATCACCCACATGACCGATGGCTGTACAGCGCAGTCCCAGTCTTGCTGCTGCTATAGCCATATTGCAGTTACCACCAGCTTCCCAGAATTTCTAGTTACAAAACCAAAAGAAGCCCAAAACTTCACAAGGTAAACAAAAAATAATAAAAAAGTGGAAGATGGAAATGCTCAATTTTATTGTCAGATCTAAACAAAAAGCACTAACGCATACACAAGCATCAATAAGAATGTCTTAGGAAAAGTAAGATGGTCAAAAGATTGATTGGCTGGTTGGGGAAGCACCAGCCTTTGCAAGCTCAGCTCAAGGATAACATTAAAAATTCAACCTCTAATTATCAGAAATTCATAATATATCTAATAGTCCCAAGTGGCAGCAATTTAAGAAAGAGAAAAAATTATGGAGCATGACTTGCCAGCAAAAAGAAATAAAAATCTGGTCTCCACCGCAGTGATTGTCCATATACAATTTACAAACACTCTATTATTGACCACTCTAATCCAACTACAAATGTTTTAGGAAAAATGAAACATAAAGTCAAATTCTTGCTTAATGTGTTGATGACCAATGCCGGCAAGGTCCATACAGTAAGTCCATTTTTTCACTCTAAAAATAAGGTGATAACATTTATATCTTTTGAATCATTAGGTGTCTCGGTGTGCATGTGCAATTAATGAACGACTTCCTTGCTATCATATGTTCATTCAATGGGCCAATACCGGAGTAAACACAGAATGAGGATGTATCCTTGACATGAAGTTCCAGTGAAGAAAATTTTAAACTCTTATAGCTCAATCATCAATCTTAAGTGGGTTCAACTAGTTCATCAAAATCACCATATTGACAACGCAAACGTGATATTACCAACACCATGAGGATGCTGAATTTAATTTTAAGCTGATGTGCCGAACCAAGATATGTTTCCCATATATTCTAACAAGATAGTGGACAAGTATCCTCCAACTATTTAGGCTTCGTTTGGGAACAGACTAATTTAGTAATTTTTTAGTTATTTGGTTAAAATATGAGTTAAAAAAAACTAGTATGTTTGGGATGACTTTTTGACTTTTTACGAAAAGATGTGTAAAACGTAGAGAGAAAAGAGAATATTTGACTTTTTGATATGAGTTGTTGGCTTTTTGACTAATTTAGTAACTTTTTGACTTTTTGACTAAAAATGAAGGTTCCCAAATGAGGCCTTAGTACTGCAATTATACCAAGAATTTTTTTTAGCTACATGTTTGATTTCAATATGGATACTTTTAGCATAATCAACTAATGGAAACGTGTGAGAAACCTATAAGTTTATCATGTAAACTTATGTACTTTAGCATAATAAAATTTACTTTTTGACTAAAAATGTTCCCAAATGAGGCCTTAGTACTGCAATTATACCAAGAATTTTTTTTAGCTACATGTTTGATTTCAATATGGATACTTTTAGCATAATCAACTAATGGAAACGTGTGAGAAACCTATAAGTTTATCATGTAAACTTATGTACTTTAGCATAATAAAATTTTAGAAAAGCCACTGACGTTGCCGTACCAGGAATATACTGAAAGGAAAAACCCTTCCATATATCTCAATGCTGAATATAATAGGGACAGATGTTGCGATAAGCAGATACAAAAAGCAATGCAAGTTGAGAAAATTATCATTCTTCAAGGTAACAAGGAATTAATTCAGGCTTCACTGTCATTCTTCAAATTGAAGGGAAATTATTCGACCAAGAGCTGCTTGTTGCATAAGCAGGGAACAGTGTAAGAATATTGACACAGTGGACGGAACAATCGAATTTTCCAAGAAAATTACAGCTAGAATTGAAGCTCTAAGCCATGTATGTAGAGTTGAAGTTTCGGCAAGTAAAGAATTCCAAAAGAAGAAGCAAAAAGTTCATATTTTACACACAAATGAACAAAAGCTTTACATTGTTCTAATTCATATATTGCTTTGCAACCAAATTATAATCAATGAAACACCTTATCAGGAGGAGACTTCGATAACAGGTCCATATAAGCCTTGCGTTCCTCGAATGAGTCAGGTGGCAAGTTGGGGACATTGAGTACAACATCGACACAGAGGTTTCCGAGAGTGGCCACATCAATATCTTTGACTCCGAGGTTTCTCAATCTCTCTCCGTCACTGGAATTATGGTTGAAGCAGAGCGAATTAGGCGGGTGTTTGGGAACCGAGACTTCAATTCCTTTGCGGTTGAAAATCCAAGAAGACTTCTTGGATGAAACAGTAGGGAAAATGGCGTGAATTAGTCTAGGGTTTGGGAGAGCGATTGGGCTTGGGGACAATCCATTGCATTTGATTGGGGATTTGAGGGTCATGGTGTGGTGATGCATTCAGAGAACAGTGTTGAGAGAGCCAACAAAAGGGAGAGAGAGAGAGAGGGAGAGAGAGAATGAGTGAGGAGAGAGAAGGGTTTAGTTTAGATGATGTAAAAGAAATGTGTGTGTGCGCGCGCGTGAGACAGGGGGAGAGAGAATATATGCACACCATTATTGAATGGAGGGTGCTGTTATGGTGTGCAATTCTTAAGGTTCATCATATACAATTAATATAAAAGATGTAAATAGAAAGTGTAAATATAAAACAGAATAATAAATAAAAAGACATAAGTGTAAAATGTAAATTGCACACTTAAAAAAGGAAAACCACAAAAGGCTGAAATGGGTGAATGAAATTGAATCGGATGGTCAAGTTGATTCGTGCAATTTTCAATTATTCTGCCACCGGTTTTTTGGGTGAATAATGCTGCCACCGTTGGATTCTCGTAATCTGAGATTAACTAATTTTGTTAATTAATTAATTATTTTTCACAAAATTAACTTTGAATTATTTGCTGACAATAAAATGTCCTAATAGGAGTTATTTAAAATAATTAGCAAAAAATACTATTTATTTATTTGTTGAATAATTTTTGTATATAATTATTTTGAAAATTAATTGAAAGAAATAAGAAAATTAATTTAGAGTATTCAAGTGCCTCCAAAATTGTTTAATATTCAAAATAAATTTAGATAATTTGTTTCATTTAGGGGTTTCTACATAAATAAAAAAAGCAAAGAATTAAGGGAGATTTACCAATAAATCCCAAAATGTAAACTTATGAACCAATTGGTCCCATTTTTATTCTAGTAAACCATTTAGTCCTGAAAAATTCTAAGAGACGTAATTACCCTCATCTAGACACCACTCATCTCTCTCAACTTTCAAGGGAAGAAGGAAGGTGTCACAATATTGATCGTAGTGACTACTAAAGTTCATAAACTTTGTGTAATTGATTTTTACTTGCTATTTATTTTTTACCCAAGTATTTATTTGAAGGTAGCCCAAGTCAGCAGTCAAATCAGATGGTCTTTTAAATTTTATTTTATTTTCTCAGTACAAAAATTGTTTACTATTATTTCTTTAGGTTAAATATATGATTTGCATTGCACCTTTCAATTTCATCAGTTTCGTTGTTTTGACTTTTAAAAAGCAAGATCTAAATGAATCACATTTAACAATAGGGTTTAAATTAATCCAAACCTCATTTGCCAGTGGTATCTAGAGTTGGTGTATTTATATATATCAGTATATTATATGAAGAACAAATTAGAAGCAAAAGTTGGATGAGAAATTCAATCAAAAGGTCATAACTTACAAATTACAAGTAATAATTGTGAAATTTTGTATGCAAAGAAAATCTTGATCTCCTGTGTTGTTTCATAAAGTATTCTTCCTCTAATGGAGGATCTGAGTAAACAAAATTTGGAGTTGATCAATGCATCAGCTGATGGGATTTATCACACTAAGTTTGTCTCCTTTGCTTTGATGACCAACCTTCTGCAAGGAAGCTGCCTGCAAACATTAACAGCCGGCAATGGATCAGATCTGACGGTTGAGGCTCACATAGAATCCAGGAATCTAAACCCTAAACCCTATATTTTCTTCACACAAGAAAACACAATTTAGTGCATGGAGATGGCACATGAGAAAAAATTTGTATTTCTGTTCCTACTACTGGTAAACCATTAATAATCGACGACACGAGTTGGGTGTGCACCGTGTAGCTTTACAAGTTTATCTCTGGTCGGAGTTGTTGTTGCTTGGACAGTTCTTCAAGTCTGCTTACAACTTTTAGAGCCACATCACCGTATGCTTTGGAGACGGTAGAATCTGGATTTGATATTACTACAGGAACACCTTCATCAGAACAACTTCTGATCTCCACCTCCAATGGTATCTGCAATAGTAAAATATGATCCAGATTAATGCAACATACATCTGATTGTTTGCAGAAGTGCACAAAACCATGCCAATTAAGGTTTTTTTCTTCCAGGTTTCAGCATATGTATATAACTTCACAAGGGTCTTGATATCTGCCTCTTGACTGTACATGCATATATTTTTAGTGCAACCATGCTTCAAAATTCATTAATTAATGTGAAAATTCAGCCAAATTTTGGATGAACTTCAGTGAAGAAAAAATCAGCCAAAACAAACTGTTGAGGAAATTTTGGATCCAGTTTCAGGGAAAACAAGTGACTCGAAATTAAGCCAAATCTTCGTTACAAATAGGGAAAAATTGGATGGATTTTGGCCAAGAGATTCATCATATATATATATATATATATAAGTGGATATAAAAAATTCAGCTGATGTGCCAGACATTCTGGAAGTTTCAGGTTCAGAATAATTTATCATATTAGGTAAAAACAAACACACTGGAAACCATGGACGGACCTACAGCTGATAATAAGCACTTAATACTATTCCACCATAACCAACCAGTAGTACAAGTATCCTGCAAAATGAAACAGAAATACATACCTCACCAAGAAATTGCAAGCCCATTTCATCAGCTGTTTTACGAGCTCCTCCTTTCCCAAAAATATGCGAAGGTTCACCACAGTGTGGACACTTAAAGAAGCTCATGTTCTCTAGGAGTCCCAGAATCTGTGAAGCAACCCACCTTTTTCAGAAAATGCAATAAACAGCAGACTTCCACCCATTTACCAAAAAAAGGATCCAACCATATATCATTGTATGGAAATCTACTACCATTATCGAATCATGTGCAAAAGCAATTCACAGAGAGTACAGATCTATATGAAATTTAAACATAACAAATTTTCAATATGCTTAATGATTTCTCTATAGATTGCTCGGGTGATATTCGTCTTTTGGTTGGGTATATATGTGTTCCTTTTTCTGTCCCAAATTCCACCTGTACTTGTGTTCCACCTCCATTTTTTCTGTTCAGTGATTAAAATTAGCTATTGGAAGAATATTCTCCAACAGTTGAAGAGCAAAATTGTACAAGGTGTACAAGTGTGATAACAGGGCCATACCCATATCCAACCAAGATTTATAGACAAAAATGTACGGGTTTCCTGGAGATAATCTCATCTAAGGATTTCAAGAAATAATTTACTACTCTCTCTTGTATTACTATCTACAGTGATATTGTTTGTAACAACTTCACTTTACATGCCAAAATTGCTAGATTGCAGTTGTTATGGAGGCCAATACTGGGTGGCTTCCAAATGCCCCAGGAGTTTAATCCATTTGAGAGGACAAACGCGTATGTATGGCTTCAAAGGACGATGCAATTAAAGTTATTGCTGACTTAACAAAAACAACCATAATTAAAGACAACTGTACAAAAGAAATTATCATACAGGAACTTCGACTTTAGAGAACATATTAACTCCCCTTCGAGCGTCCATTAATGCAACATCTTGAGGAGTTGAAACAATCAAAGCACCTATCAAGAAACTCAAAAAAGGTTAATATTTACCCAGGTGCAATGTTTGTACCCATTAAGTCACAAAGAAACTCAAGCTAGGTCTACAGCTCATCAGAAACTTATTAGACAGCAACAATGATTTAGACCACTAAAAAATACATCACTAATAGCACTAATACGTTGGGAATGGTAAATAAATAAATAAATAAATAAAAACAAAGAATAGAAAGTGGGCGGGGCCCACTGCCACATCATTAGTGCTCCCTGTAGTGATCCTTTTTTAGTGCTCCCAAGCATTTTTTATTATACAGTGATGAAAAGACTGTCTAATAAGTTTCATGTAAAGGCAGTGCAATGTTGATTCCATTCTGTTTAATGTGGTTGGTTTGGATAGAGAGGAATCCGCGTACTTTTCAAGAGTTATATCATAGTGTGTCGTGGCTCGAAAATCGGTTATTAGTTGCTTTGTATAGTTGGTTGGAGAGGAGGGTGGATCTGGATTTGTTTTTTTTTTTAGACTTTTTAGATGATGTTATTGGTTGGGCATTTTTAGATGTCTTTTTATTTGATTTTCGTGTCTTCCCAAATTGGGGTTGTTTGGATTCTTTTGCATCTTTTTGATACTTTCTCAATAAAGTCTGATTATTTATAAATAAATAAATAAAAAAAGACTACAGAGATGTCAAAGTCAACAACTACTGTAAGCTAAACAAACAAAATACCCTAAAACATCCATTCATGTAAATACCTGCATTAGCTAGAGGATATAAGTTTTCAAAAAATTGGTTCCAAATGAAGCAGTCCTTTCTTTGTTTTTTAAGTAAATGAACCACTAATTGCAACTTGAATTTGATTTAGATCAGTAAAATTTAAAGGGGTACTTACGTATAGATCCTAATAAGTAGGCTTATTGTCTAATAGGTCCTATGGGAAAAATTTGTCATAAAAAGTCACTAATTAAAAGTTTTAGCGATAATTTATAAAAATCATGACAAAAAAAGTCACTAATTGTCAATTTTTAGTGACATATATAAAAAATTGTCACAAAAAAAATATTTTTAGTAACAATTTTACCAAGACTTATTTTTAATAGGACTTGATGGGAATTAAGTCTAATTATTAGGACCTATTGGTAGTTTACCCTAATTTTAAATTGAAAAACAGAGACATTTCTTTCTGATAATATTTAGCTATGTCAATTTCAGATATAACTGAAACAATACTTTAAACCATAGTGTGTTTTATGACACTTTCCTTGAGTGTTGCTAACTGCTGATCGTCAAGTTGAAAGCATCAAAACCTCTAAAGCTTTGTTCATGTGTTCTTTTATCTACCTGATAGTTGCAGCCTCTGAGAAATAGATATCTGAGCATCACCAGTCCCAGGGGGCATATCCACCACAAGAATATCAAGGTTTCCCCACTCAACTCCCCTAGACATCTGTTCAAGAGCTTTCATCACCTGCAAGCATGAAAAAAGAAGAAGAAAGAAAGTGTTTTGGTTAAAGCAACAACAATTAATAGAAGATCTACGTAACAGGTTAGCCTAAAAAAACCCACTACCAAATCCTTCAAAAGGAGTCACCAATTTGAAGCACAATTGCTTACACTTACGTTATGTACAATAAAATAAGAAGGATGAGTAACAAATGAGGGAAGGAAGACAAAGATGAAACTCCAACATTAAATATGGCAGAGACATACCATTGGCCCTCTCCACACAATTGGGGCATATTTTTCCGCCAAAAGAAACCCCATCGACATACACTTTACTCCATGGTTTTCAATTGGAATCATTTTCTTATCTGCCAGAGAAAAAAACATGTGAAACAAAAAATCTTATGGTTTTACTGAAAGAGTCAAGAAGCAGTAGAAAATGACATAATAGAATGCAAAAGGTACCAACTAAATCCAATTTAGCACTAATATGATACTAAGCAAAGCATATGCACAGAAAAGGAAGGCAACGTGCTAAAATTTGTTTGCATAGCAAAAGGAAAAAAAAAGAAAAGGCAATAATATAAAACCATTCAAATGTGAACAACAAAGTAAAAGCAACTCTATACTATTTAACCTGTTATGGTAGAATCACCCTTAGCATTTCACTAAGATGCATTAAAAGAACTTCACACATTGGCAACATGAATTTCAGTGGAACATCTCGTGAAGAATTCATATGATTAGAGCATCACCTTCACTCACTTCAGGTTTTCCATGGAGTTTCATCATAGTAGGAATAGATGGTCCATACACATCAGCATCAAGCAACCCAACCTTAAGTCGACACTTATTGGCAAGTGCCACAGCCAAATTAACTGCAAATTCAACAAGTATAAAAAGGAACATTTGTAATCTTAGTCGAGTAAAATATTTCAGAAGGCATTCATTCAATTTCCTGTGTGAAAACTTTACAATGGTGTATGTAGACTATACAATGATATTATTAATTCACAATACAAAGTAGAGAGTCGATTTAGCATGTTGTTTTAATACCATCTCATAATTTCCCACTTCGAACTCCTTGCCTGTGCTGAAGTGCATCTTAATTTAAAAGTTGAGACATCAAACTAAAAAATATTCAGCACTGACCATGACTTTGTTTTCAGTCCAACAAGAACAATTCCCACGTAGTATAGTCCCCACTCTTAAAAAAAAATGAAATAATCAAACAAGAGAATAGACTAAAATTATGATTGGACTCTATTGCCTAAAGGGAATCATAGTTTCACCAATTTCATAGGCCAATGTAATTAATTGCATGCTTCCTACAGAATATATTAAGGAAATAACAGTGCATACTTCTCCGCTGAAGCGCATTCAGTGAACTCACAGTCGTAAAATTTTGACCCTCCATCTCCAATTAGGATATTTTCACAACTCCTGCAGACAGGCAATGCTTGCTTTTTCTGAAGCAAAGCAAGGTACAACAGCCTAATGCACCTGGCAAGATCCACCATTTGATTTGGCACCATTTTTTTTCCCCCCAATTAACATTGATTAAAAAAAAGCTATAGAATTTTAGACTAAAAGTTAAAAGTAAAGCAGATAAACAAGAACAATAATTATCTTCGCTTAGCCAAATTAATCATCTACCCAGTAACCTAATCAAACCAATCTAAGCCTTATGTTACAATCAATTGGGATTGGCTACGTGAACTGGTTTCGTTTTTTCCATCCTGCCCTGTCAAGTTATAATTTAATTTACAACCCCAAGTGACCAATTCATCTTCTTCAAATGGCATCATCAGAGCGACGATGATACAGCAAAGGACTCTAAAACCTATAAAATTAATCTCAACCCATTAGCGACTAAACAAAGAAGAATCCATATCATGTCACGCACCCAAGAAATCTCGATAAATAAATGAGTAAAGACTGAGACAGAGAAAGAGAAAGAGGCATTACCAGCAGTGGTGGACTTGCCAACGCCGCCTTTACCAGAAGCAACGGCGATGATGTCTTCTACCCCTTTAATCTTGAGACCTTGCGCATTCGCTGCCGCAAAACCCCTTGCACCTCCAAGTTTCTTCAACACAAAAGTCAGTCTCAGTCTAATTGAGGATGAAACCAACTGTGATTTGAAATTCGAAGAAGCTTTAATTGAAAATTCAAGTTCACTTACAAGGAAAGATCTCAGCGAAGCCTTCATCAATGGACCTTCAAGACAATACTCGAACTGGGTTTACCAGTATGTAGCAAAGCAGGTTTGCTTAGGGTGTTGCGTTGATGTTCCGTTTGAATTATATTTAGGGCAACGCTACATACCACTAAAATGGTGTTGTAAAACAATCATGATGTGATATTCACGTTTTTTAATAAAAAGTAAAATAAAAATAGATACAAAAACATTGTGACAGTAGGTGGGACTTACTGCCACCTCCACTCATTTTCCTTATATTTACGTGCGCTAAGTTGGCCTTGTTTGGTACAGCTTAATTTCAGCTTATTTCAGCTTTCAGCTTAATTTAAGCTATTTTGATGTGTTTGGTTTAGCTTATGGCTTATAGCTTATAGCTTTGTGGAAGTCAGAAAACAGCTTATTCTTTGAGTGGGGCAGGAGATGCTTTAAGAATAAGCTGGAAATCAGCTTAAGCTGAAAGTTATAAGCTATAAGTTGTTTAGGCATAAGCTATAAGCACTTTCCCACAGTTCTACCAAACAGGGCCGTTATGACATTACCGATTAAAAAAACATAAAAAAATTAAGACATTGCATTTGGATCATTTAAAAGAAATACTACAATTTAAATTTTAGGGATCATTAAAGGAGTCATTAAAAGAAAAAGAATACTACCATTTAAATTTTAATATCAATGGCGCATAGTTATGTTAGAAATTTTAATTTTAAGGGTTGGTTTGGCAATCTTTGAAAAAATTAGAAAGTTAAAAAATTATTTAAAAAGTTAAAAAATTATCACTATTCATAAAAAAAATATTAAAAAATAATATACAAATATTATTACAAATCAAAAAAAAAAGCCCCAAGATTAGACATTCCGTGACGGTGGAGTCAATGACCGGGGAAACAAAAAATTATAGTAAAATATTCACTAAATTAGATAGTAAAGTTGGGCCCATGGGGGCTCACATGGGTCCCGTTTTGATAATCTAAACCGTTCAACATGTAGAACTAGTCTATTACTATATACTTATAAAAAATCACGTCTATCAGATATCGCTAACTACATGATCAAATCAGTTTTGTATAAAAATGGATGGTGTTATAGTTAACATTAACAAAAAAAAACTAACACGATCAAATAGCTATCGATATCCAATCAACGTGATTTTTTACAGATATGTAGTACTCGACGAGTTCTACATATTGTACGGTTCCGATTAGAAAAATGGGACCCATGGTGGGCCCCCACGAGCCAAACAACACCATCAAATCAAAACCCGAGAAGTAGACAATAATTTCTTATCTACTCACCCAACCCGTCACCACTGCCATCACCACTGCCATTCCGTATGGCTCCTACCCTATATTCTCTTGCACACTTATTTATATAATTTTTTAATACATATTTTTTTATAAAAAGTCAAAAAATTAATCCAAACATTCATATTTTTTTCCTCAATGACAAAAAGTACACTTATTTAAAATATTCCAAACAATCTCTAAATTTTAAATTTATCTATAATAATAATTACATGATAAAAAAGTTGAATTTTATAAAGTTGAATTTCTGATAAATTAAAAGTTAACTTAATCTGCTAAGTCGTTGGTTACATTTGAGATTTCTTCTGTTTTGTAATTGCTTCTCTTAAACATAAAATATATATATGTTGGCTACATATTTTGTAAAAGCCAGTTACAGTTTGACACGTGGCAAAATAAGGGTAATAAAGGAAGGTTATTCAAGCCTTCAATCCTGATCGTACACGTGGCAATAAATATTGGTTCTCACATGATCTGAGTAACACTAGATCAATAACGGGATGCAAGATGACATAGCTTCAACGGTTACTCATATTCAAATTCTAATACAAGAGGGAAGCTCAACTGCCAGTAATGGCGTAGTGGAGCTACTTATAAGGAAGCATGATCAGCAATCATGGAGGAGCAGTTCGACGGTTCGAAGTGCAGTTCGAAGGTCATCACTGACGAGTATAAATAGCAGGGCAGCCCCAGAAAAAGGGGGAGACTCAGATCATACAAATCAGTCATTTACTTCATATATTTTCTTTTCCAAAAAACTTCCGACTGTCATTGCGTACCTGTTCTTTAAACCGAACCGCGAGCACCTTTAATAGTTATATCTTTTGTAATAGTCATTTTTTTTTTTAATTTCAATGAACATATGTAATGACTAATTGGATTTGCTTATAAAATTTGAAATTCTATCTATAAATCCCATTTTAAGAAATGATGATCCGTTTTCTATTTTTTTATATATATATATATATATATATATCCTCTCTATGTTTTTTCTAGATGTTCTTTCCATATAGATGGTTTGTGTTTTGATTCTCCCTCCGTTGCTCCACAGATCTGTTTGCCTTTGGTTTGCCACAGATTTGTTCTTTCTTTCCTTCTTCTCCCTCTGGTTTGCATCTGCTCTGTCTTTCTTTTTTTTCTTTCTTTTCTTTTTTTTCTTGAAAAGTTGCCCCAAAACGGCGTCGTTTTGGGGCGCTACAGGAAAAGGCTACAGGAAAAGGCTACCGAGGATCCGGATTCGTCCAAACTGTACGGGTTACTTCACTACCTTCTTCTACACACTTATTTATATAATTTTTTAATACATATTTTTTTATAAAAAGTCAAAAAATTAATCCAAACATTCATATTTTTTTCCTCAAGGACAAAGTCCAAAATATTACTGTTATTTCTCTTAATTTCTCCTAAGTCAAGCCACCAGTAAAAGTCCTCTTCATTGAGGCTGAAAAGAACTAAAACACAATCGTCTGATAATTGGTTGGCAATCACAATTTCTGTAAGGACTGATTGATCCTTGCTGGCACGTTCACATTTACAAAAATACCCTTCGAAATGCCAAAAAGCCAACAATATATATATATTTATATATACACATAAATGTCTGTTAAGAGTTTGGGGAGGGGCCTTAATTATTTTTCAAAGAATAACACTATAAACTCAAATTTATAAATTCAGAATTTATTCAGAAAAATAAATCAGTAATTATAATTCATTTTATGTATATCAATTTAATTTCTATCACGCAAACCCAACATAAAATTATAAGTTGATAAGGTTGGTTCATAACATTTTTGTTTTCCAAGGGCCTGAAATCAGAATTTTTTGCAAATCGCTTAAATTTGAATATAAACGAAAACATAAATAAAAAACACATTTTCAGTTTTACTTTTTTTGGATCTGAAATTCGGTTGGCAACAACGGTCACTCGTCACTTTCCTAGAAAAAAGAAAGAGAAAGAGGACATCTTCGTAATTCTTCTTTCTCGTATGATTCGTTCCATTTTTAAATTTTCTAAACCCCGATGATTCATGATTTGATCACAAATTTGCTCCTTCTGTCTCTTCCAATTCCTCCTTCAAGCTGCACACCAGGTACACATCCATACATATATATATATATATATATCAATAGAGATAAGTGATTGAATTGTGAATAATTTATGTATTTGAGCTTTTTCTTGTGAACTTTATTTACAATTGCAATGTACATTATTTTTGTTTACATCGTTGTCTTCATTTGTAACTGAGAATTATATCTTGATCAAATGGGCGTTCTTGAATTGAGTAGGGTTACGTTTTGGCTTTCAGATTTCATTTTTTAATTCATTCAGATTTGTTAATGTAGTGAATCTAGCATAATTTTTTGGTCATTGGATTCTGTTTTGATCCTTTTCAATAAATGGATTTTGAAATCATGAGGGTTTGGTTTATGAATCTTGGGGGAAAAAATGTGGGGTCCTTTTTTATTTATATATTTATTTAAGTGTCGCTGGATTTAGATTCTGGTAAGGTTATGAATGATTTTTTTTTCTTTGTTGTTTGTTAATGTTTGCAGCATAGGCTGGTGTGGGAACTTCAAATTTGATTTGGGTGAAATGTAGATCTATGATGTTTTAAGCAATTAAAGCACTTAATGCTTTCTACAATTTGGGATTTTATTGTGACATCTGGAATCATTATGGTGGGAATGACCGTCAAGAGGAATCCAAGGGGGTTTACGAACCTTTTGTCCTCTATGGCTTCAGAATGGTTGTTGATATTCCTGTTGTTTGTTGACGCTGCATTTTCATATTTGCTGACAAAATTTGCACGCTACTGCGAATTGAAAACACCTTGTCCATTATGCTCGAGGCTTGATCATGTTTTCGGAAATGAAAAACTTGAATTCTATCAGAATTTGCTCTGCAGCAACCACCGAATGGAAGTATCATCTTTGATATCTTGCCAGATTCATGGTAAGCTTGCTGATGCCTGTGGGATGTGTGAAGAATGTCTCATGTCCTTCTCCATGAAGAACAAATTGAACTCTGAATCATACAGGTTGTTGGTGGGTAAATTGGGGATCGATTACAATCAGTGTGGCTTTCCAAGTTCATTTTCAAATAAGAATATTATCTTGGGTTCTTTAAGCACAAAGACATGTTCTTGTTGCAATAAGAAATGGAGGGCTAGGCCAAATGCTCAAAGATTGCTACAGCCAACTCTAGCTGGGTTAGGGAGTATTAAAACTAATAATAAAGCTCTAGTTGGGTTAGCGAGTATTAAAAGTAATACTAAACCTCCTTTGCCACTTTTGCCAAGTCGCAGCCATTTAAGCCATCGGGATAGCTTTAAGAAAATAAGGGATAAAATTTCGGCGCCAATAACACCTCGTCGTCTTGGAAATACTGTTGTTGATCCTTTGTCTCATGTGGGATACTCTGAGCTCAAGATTACTTCAGATTCCGAGTCTGAGTTTCCATTTTCTGATGATGACGATGATACCAAGGATGTTCTAGCCACTCAACATTGTTCGGGTATTTTATCTAAAGTACATCCTGACAATTTGACTCCATTTAAGCAGACTCAGCGAGCTTCCGATCCTGGGACTTCACTTTTAGATCAATATGACCAACTTGATGTAAGAGAGCCTCGTGATGTGGAATGTTTGGCATTTGATGATGTTAAAGGACGTGGTTGGGGGGAACTACACTGGGAACAAGCCAATCCAAAGCCTAATCATACTGCTCTGCCTGAACTTATCTCACTAGATGATATTCCCCCTTCGTCTAACATTGTAGAAGCACTACCTCACAATTCCAGTTTGGTTGCGTTATCTAAGCTTGTTTCTCTAAATGACATTCCTCCATCTTCCAATGTCATGGAAATTCCTGTTGGAATATCACCAGATAAGTGTAAGCTAAATTTCCTCTATGTTTGTGTGTTTGCATATTTGTGCATGTGTGTATATGCATGTTTGTGTGTGCATTGAAAACATATCTTTGTCTGTTGCATTTAACTTATGTCTCCTTTCTGAAATGATTTTTAGCAGTAGATGTTATCGGAACCAGTGACATTGGACATAAATCCTTCATCAAGCATGAAGTATCTGAGTTGATGAATACAACAACTGCAACACGTTTTAAAACTGATCAGGTTTTGAATGATATTGCTCCACCAATGTCAAATTATGTGGGTCCAAGCAATGAGTGCAAGTTAGCTGATAGTAATAAAGCAAGAGAAGTTCCTCATATGGTTTCTGAACTTGCTGTCGGTATTGATTCTGCAAAAGTTCATGATCAAATAGTGTCTTATCCTGTGATTGGTCCATCTTTAAACAATACAAGTCTCAAAGTGCATGATCATCACGATGAGTTGCAGAGAAGTGATGCTTATAGTTTTAATGGAATTCAGGTGCTTCAAAATTCAGTTTCATTGGTGAGAAATGATTCTAGTTATGAATCTTTGGATGGAAGCACTATCAGTGAAATTGATGGTGAAAGCATTGTTGATACTCTAAAGCGACAGGTTGACTATGATAAGAAACGCAATAGTGCTCTATACAAGGAATTAGAGGAAGAAAGAAATGCTGCTGAAATTGCAGCAAATCAGGCAATGGCCATGATTACAAGGTTGCAAGAGGAGAAGGCATTGCTACATATGGAGGCTTTGCAGTACTTAAGAATGATGGAGGAGCAAGCGGAGTATGATATGGAGGCACTCGAAAAAGCCAATGATCTCCTAGCTGAAAGGGAGAAGGAGATGCAAGATTTGGAAGCAGAGTTAGAATTTTACAAGAACAATGTCTCGGACGAAACAATGGTGGAAAGTTTACCTGGGGAAACCAACAACCCAAAGGTAGACAACACAAGGATAGATAATAATGGTGTACCCCAGATTAAAAGTATTGCCAATATGAGTTGTGCTTCCGTGTCCAAGCTTAACGATATTAAGACTTCACTGTTAGACTATGAGGGTGAGAAACAATACATTTCGCAATATTTGAAGAAGTTGGAGAGCAAGTTGCATCAAGTTTCTGGTAATGGGACACCTAATGGTGAGAGACAAACTGATCAGCAGAAGCAAGAGAATGGTTTGTCAATGCCAAATGATTTATCTGCATTAAATGGAAGGCTCTCTACTCTTGATGGTTCTGATGTCTCGATTGAGGACAATAGTTCTGTCATTAAAGAGAACAATCATTTTGATTCTGATTGGGAAGAATCCTCCATTCAAGGTGGGTATATTGATTTGAATGATCTTCGTAGTGAAATTTCAGACCTTAATGGAAGGTTGCAAGCAATTGAGGTTGATCGTGATTTTCTCAAGCATGCATTTAACTCACTCAGAAATGGGACTGAGGGATTGCAGTTCATTCAAGAAATAGCTCATAATCTACAGGAATTACGGAAAATTGGGATTGAGAACAGATGTCTATCCGTTCCTTGAGTCTATATTTATATGTCTACCGTCACCAGGTATGCATTTGGTGAAACATCACATGGTGCTGACATTTTGTGTATATATTATTTTTAGAAAATTCTCAAGCATGCATTTAATTCACTCAGAAATGGGACCAAGGAATTACAGTTCATTCAAGAAATAGCTCATAATCTACAGGAATTACGGGAAATTGGGATTGAAAACAGATGTCTATCCGTTCCTTGAGTATACGTGTCTACCGTCACCAGGTATGCATTTTATGAAACATCATATGGTGCTGACATTTTGTGTATATATTATTTTTAGAAACCAAAATTTCAATATCTATGCATATGTTTGTTGCTATATGATTTTACTCATATTCCCTTATGAATGATTGCTCATAAGTAATCGTTTGAACCTATAGTACAGATTGCAGAACTCATTTGAATTGTTCCTTATTTTCATTCTTTTTTAATCGAATAATATAAATATGTCCTTGATTAATTAGAATTGCTCCATGTAAATTTAGAGTTCTCCAAATTGTTTGTCCCTTTCCCCATGCTTTGTTAAGGTCATTTTAGATCTGGATAGACGCTTGTGTTATTGTGGGAAATACTGAATACTTGTCCTTCTAGGTATTGTGCTAGTGCTATTTTTTTGAAGCATCTTATACTTATGATTGGATTATAGTCAAAGCAAGTTTGATGAACATATTCTGAAATTCAATTTGCTCTGCAACATGGAATTCATATCATTTTCTACTTGATATCATTCTGATTGTTCAATACTGAATCTTTGCAGTTTCATAATTAAAGAGGATGAACTAATCACAGAAAAGGCCTTCTCTGTCATCGTCAGTATATTGGTTTTAAACATGCGGGGAGGTCATCATGACGTGCTGCTTGCAAATTGCGATCTAAGACAGATTTTGTGTACAGCCAGCCACCCCTTAATTTTGAGGAAGAATAATAGTATGATCTGGAACTAGTTATTGAAGTTTGATGTGATCGCTTCCCATTTTCCAGTTGAGTTTGTTTTCTTGTTTTGAATTGTAGAGTTGGCAGTACTTTTGAAAATTTTATGAAGCACCAAATGATGAGATTGTAAAATCATAGATCTTTGTATAACTATTAGTACTGTTCTCACTTTTGATGCAGATAGATCTTCATCTTGGTATAGTTTTCAACATAGTGATTATAGATAAAAAGGAGCTCACCAGAGTTGTCTCTCACCCACAAATACTAAACAATCGGTTTCTTCAAGAAACGTCGGTACCTCTCTGTCACCTTATTGTAGCGTTCTGTGTAACTGTTTTCGTGTAAATAAAAATGAATCTTATTCAAAAAGTTATTTTTCTTTTTCAACTGTAAGCTAAATAAAATGGGTCTTTGGTGGCTTTTGCTTCCAAATCTATTTCTATAAAATTTTAATTTTGAAAAGAGTTATCAATTACTTGCACGAATTCGGAAACGAGCAAGGATCCTCTAGAGTGATTTTTTCCTAAAGTTTCCTAGAGTGCTACATTGTGTGGTTGAGATTTACTGGCAAATCACATCACATCCTAGCGTGCTACATTGTGTGGTTAGCACTCTAGGAAACTTTAGAAAAAAATCACTCTAGAGGATCCTTGGTGTTCGGAAACAACTGTCAACCAAACAAATTAATGTAGTTAATTTGTGGTTGAATGATGTTTGAGAATTGCTTTTTTGATGTATGTTTTTTTGGTTTTTAGTGATTTTTTTTAATTTTTTTTTTAAAAAATTGTTGGCTACTGGTTCTACTTGATTAGACTAATCGATTGAAAAATTATAAAAAAAAAAAATAGAAAAGACAAAAGAAAAAAAAGACCATTTTTTGAATTTTTTTTTGTGTACTTTTTAAATTTGTCTACATAAGATGAACAGAAAAATAAAATAAAAAAAGACATAATTTAAAAGAATCAGTAAAAATAAAAAAGTTCAAAAAAATGTGACTTATTTAATTGTTTCCAAAACCAACTCAAGGATCGTTTGATAATTGACCAAAATAGTTAAAAAGTAAATATAAAAAATAATTCATTATATTTATTTTTTCTTAAAAACAAAATAATTAAAAAGATTAATTTCCAAACTAATTTGAAGTGGATGTTTTATTGGGATATTTTAGCCTAACATCTCTTTTTAACTTTTAGTAACGCGAAAGGTTGATAATATTTTTTTGTAGCCTAAGGTCCCTCACCTTAAATCTCACCCACCCCCATATATTACACTCACTCTCTCATTCTCTCTAGGAATGGCAACGGGTCGGGGCGGGGCCGGGCCGGGGATCACACTCCCCGTCCCCGATCCCCGATGGTAGAAATTTCTCCGTCTCCGGTCCCGATCCCCGACGGGGAGCCTATCATCACCCCTGCTCCCGTTCCCCATCGGTGATCGGGTTTCCCCAACCCCGATAATTTCCTGGCTAAAATTAAAAAACAACAATAACAACAACATAAACATTATCCAACAGCAGATCTAACACATCAAATGTGTATATAATCATCAAATGTATATCAGATGTACAAAATTCATCAAATGTAAAAAATAAAAAATAAAAAATCTAACACATCTTCAACAGATCTAAGCTCGGAATGGAAGAGGCAACAGAAGCGACGGAATAGAAGGCCGACGGCGATCGAAGGGAGGCAGAGAGACCGCCGTGAGGCAAATCCGAGGGAGGGAGAGAGATCGGCGTGAGGCAGTGATGGAGATCGGTGTGAGACAGTGAGATCGGAGGGAGGGAGATCGGCGTGAGGCAGCGCAGCGATGGAGATCGGAGGGAGAGGATGGAGGCTGTGGCTGAAGGAGGACGATCGACGTCGCGATAGGTGGCTGTGGCTGTGACTGGGTTGCGACAGTGGTGAGAGTGAGAGTGAGAGTGAAAGTGAGAGAGAGAGTAGAGTGAAGAGAGAGAGAGAGACGGAAGACAGAACTAGAGATGATAAGATGAGGGTTTGGTTTGGTTACTATGTGTGTGTATATATATATAGAGGGGTAAACTAGTAATTTCATTTCGGGGACAAACCGGGTCGAGGAACGGGGACGGGGACGGGACCGGGCGAGTACGGGGCTGGGACACTTATCCTCGTCCCCGGCCTGAATCTGTTCGGGGATTGATTTTTAAATACCATCCCCGTCCCGTCGGGGGTATTTTTCGGGAAAAACCCGCACAATTCGGGGTCAGGGGGTCGGGTCCCCATCAGGCCGGTTTTAAATTGCCATCCCTAATTCTCTTCCTTCTCTCTTATCTCTCTCTTCCTTTTTCCCGCCGTAGCCTCCTCCTCCGCCATTGTGACTGCCGTGACCACAGAGTCCTATCTTTGCACCAGTTTGGATCCCAACGCCAGCAAAAGGCACACACACAGACAAAGGTTATGAATTACAGTACTAGTATCGAACCGACGAGATCAACCCATTGTTTTTAGAAAACAACCTATTCTTTTTAGAACACCTATTTTGAGTTTTCTGTTGTAGATTCAACAAATGCTTTGATGTTGAAGATTGAAATAAGCATTGTCCATCCAATTCTGTGAACCTCCCAATGAAAATCCAAAATTATCTGAATACAATTGCGCTTGAATCGCCATCATATACTCTTTTCACATATCTTTCTCAATGTTTTCTCAAGAAACGTTTTGTTTTGGTATTTGGGTATTGAAGCAGTGGACAATATTAGTACAATATTGTCCGCTCTTGACGTACCCTTACGGCTTTGTTTTTCCCTTAGGAAAAAGCCTTCTGCTAATTTGAAAGAGTTAGTTAACTTATATAGTGGAGTATGGTATTGGGAGACCTAAGTTAGTCAACTTATGTCGTGGAGTGTGGTATTGAGCTCCCACATAGGTCTCTAATTGACTGACTTTCTGAGAAAGGAGTTCTTATAGACAGCGCCAAATGAAACAATCAACCTCTCATTAACATAATATTATCCGCTTTAAACATACCTTCATGACTTTGTTTTTTCTTTAGAAAATTTTTTTATACTAATTTAAAGGAATTAATTAATTTATGTAGTGAAATATAATTTATTTAGAGTGATGTAAGATGGACATCTATTAGACTCCCAAATATGATTTGCCATATATGATTTTTGGAAGCATAAAAAACAAAAGGTGGTGGTGGGGAGGTGTGCATAGATATATTGGACCCAAATATGATTGTTATATCTGATTTTTGGGGGTGCTGTTGCACATCATATGCAATCAACACAAAAGGTGTAAGTATAAAGTGTAAACATAAAATATGATAATAAACAGAAAGGCGTAAGTGTAAAGTGTAAGTTGTATACTTAAGAAAAATCCGATTTTTGGAAGCATAAAAAACAAAAAGTTGTGGTGGAGAGGTGTGCATAGATATATTGGAAGTGATGTGAATTAATTAATAAAATAAGGGATTGTTCGGTTGAACGACATTAATAGTATGCTGAAACTTGAACGACATTAATAGTATGCTGAAAAGACCGAAAAGGAAATCATGCGGATCCTCTCTACTTTTCCTTTTTCTTTCTCTTTCTCTTTCTCTCACGTACACATGCAGATTTTGCGGTTAAACTATCCGGTCAGGGGTTTCGGAAGCGTAATTAAACACTTTATGTTTTTGTTTTTGCGTAACTCAATTTTTTTTGATTTGTTCAAAATAAAAAAAAATATGAATAAATTAAAAAAAAATTGATTAAAATATAAAAAAAATTGTGAGTAAATTAGAGAAATTTTAAATCAAAAAAAATTAAAAATACAAAGAACATTTAAAAATAGAGAGAAAATCAAAAAAATTGAGCAAATTAGAAAATATTCAAAACATAAAAAATTTTGTCTAAATTTCTCTGAATTGAAATTTTTCTGAATCAAAAATTTTCTGAATCAACATTCTTTTTTGATTTGTTCAAAAAAAAATGAATAAATTAAAAAAAATTGATTAAAATATAAAAAAATTTGTGAATAAATTAGAGAAATTTTAAATCAAAAAAAAAATTAAAAATACAAAGAACATTTAAAAATAGAGAGAAAATCAAAAAAATTGAGCAAATTAGAAAATATTCAAAACATAAAAAATTTTGTCTAAAATTTCTCTGAATTGAAATTTTTCTGAATCAAAAATTTTCTGAATCAACATTTCTCTAGAAAAATATTGAAAGATCCCAATTATTATGAAAATATTATATATCTTTTGTCTTATAAAATCTCAATATCAAGAATCTTAAAAAAATTCTCTATTATTTGTTAGACACATTTTTATAAAAAATTAAAAATTAATTAAAATAATTAATTTTCAAAAAAAATGTCAGTATGTAATGCACGCCATATGTAACTCTGCTATTAAATTACATAAATTTTCACAAATTTACAAAATAAATTTATATTTAATTTATATATTTTTATGAAATCATTCATATAAATTTATAAAAACTTATATAATTTAATGATAAAATTACATATGCGGGCATTGGGCATTGAGCATTGAGTCGGCGGATGATCTGGACTCCACCAAATCCCTTCCCTGCACCACCTGCCTTCACCTTTTCTCCGCCTCTTGTAAACTCTCTCTCTCTCTCTCTCTCTGTGGCAGCAAAAATGAATGTTTCAAGAGCATATGTTAGCAGGGTCTATACAATAATGATCCTAATCTTGATCATAGCCGCTACTGCAAAACCTCTGTTAGGTTATAGAACAATGAAAGATCCAGTCTCGCCTCCCGGTCCATCCAGTTGTACTTACGTTCCGGGTCCACCGGGCAATGGCTGCCGCCATGTTTGATCTTGCAGATGGTTTTTGTTCAGTGAAATTCCACTAGTCTCGCCTCCCGGTCCATCAGGTTGTTGTCCTTTCAATAACTCATCATCAATGACCTGGCTTGATGTTTTTTCGTTTTTCTTTTTTTGGGTTTGTTTTTGTTTCTGCTTTGAAGCTAGTTATGTTTGTCTGAGGTTGTTCGATTACTCTCAAGCAGTCTGTATTTTCAATGTACCACTCTTTCAGCAATGATGGGTTGCATTTGTTAGAGAATATATAGTATATGATATTATTATAATATCATCAGATATTATCCTCTCATTAGATCCATAGCTTTGTGCATGCCATTATTGAATATATTTGTGTATGTATATCTATAAAAAAAATTTAAAAAATAAAAAGAGCCACAGCCAATTAAACAGTGACACCTCACCATTTACTTTTCTTTCTCTTGTTCCTCCGTCAACCATCCGGAAGGGAGAGGGGGGTCACCGGTGGGTGAGAAGCTCGGGGTGGGAGGCCGGAGCTGGCAGCAGTGGTTTCCGTAGATGGGGCAGTAACAGCCCGAGAAGGTGGTTGGAAGAGTTAGGGTTTGGAAAGTTGTGTAAGAGAGGAGGGTATGTTTGGTATGATAGAGTA